GTCGCAACTCGAGCCGGTAACGCGACGCGCGCGCCACCTACAGATAATCGTTATCAATTAACGAGAACTCGCGAATGTCGGTCACAGGTTCGGATTCAGCCCTTTGGCCGTTATTTTCAACCGACTTCAAAGAGAAGGTGCAATTCGTTTGTATTTTTTCTTTTAATGTTTGTTACATCATTACTCTGTCACTTGTGAACCGATTTGGAAAATTCTTTTTTTTATTTGAAAGGATATACTAGAAAATTAGTTCCATAGAAATTTTATTAAAATCAATTAAGTAGTTTAGTTTTGAATTCAAAATGACTGATTTAGCCACATTTTTTTAATGAGTGATCATGGTATTGCAGCCCCGCCCGCTCTATATGTATCTATCTATCTATATATACATGTAAAGGTACAAAAGGCGGTCGTATCGCTAGGGCAATCTCTTACAGACAACATTTGATTAAAGGAGAACAGATAGAAATGGGCAGGTGGCGCAAGAGTGAATTAATAATACTTTTATAAATAAAATACAAAAACCTATAATGCACAAAAATATCAAATACATTATTATTTATACACACATAAAAATATATAATATAATAAATACATACATTACCTAAATACTTTTTTATAATATATACATACTAACTCGTTTTAAATATTTTAAGTTAGGATATGCGATATAAAGCCCGGTCACGTGGACAAAGCCGCGGGCAAAAACTGATACTTGAATAAGTAAATAATGCATCTACAGTTACTCTACATAGTTTATGGTCAACTCAGATCACCTACGATGATTGAACGGGTTCGCATTATCCGAACTTTGTTTATAATAACATACGTCAGCACTCGACATCCGGGATTAGGTGACAAGCGCTGAGTGCGGATAAGGTCACACGTACAGGCGTGTACCTACTGCTTCGTATTACATCTCTGTGAGAAGAAATTCTCGCTCTGTCAGCATCCGTTTCAGTTCTCACAGCGATAAGGGATTCTGAGTAAAAATGTACAATATTTTTTCTAATGCAACTTAGAATGTCAAACAAGCGGACGGTCCACCTGATTGAAAGAGGTAACCGTCGCCTATAGACATGAGCAGTACCATGGACATAACAGTATACTGTTTCGCCCATGATACCCCCCATGCGTCGCCATCCCTGAGGACTCAGGTGTTATTCCTCTGTTCCCTGTAAATTCAGGGCAATCTCTTACAGACAACCCTATATTTACTTGTCGAGTTTTGCAGAATGGCAATAAATTATTTAGAATCTATCCAATAAATAAACGCTGTACTGCTCATGTTTGTAGGCGACGATTACCACTTTCCATCAGGTGGGCCGTCAGCTTGCTTCCCATTCTAAGTTGTATAAAAAAAAATACAGCCCATTATATATTTTCAGATCTCACAGAAACAATCTCAGCCAGCAGTCAGCCAGCAGTCAGCCGTTTCCATCATCGCCATTCATTCAATCGGTAAGTTTCTTTTATTTATTAATTAATTTTACATACGTATAGGGGGCTGGTTAAAACTGGTAACGTAACAAAACTTTATTAGTAATGCATATAAATATATAATAAAATAATAATAATAAAATATTAGTTACATTAACGCATGTAAGACTAGTTGTATCTCGCGGCTTTGCCCAAGTAAAATTAATACATAAGGTATCTTGTGCTAAGTATTTTTAATGGATGATAATGAAATTGTAACCCCACCTACGCTATCGGTATACGCTGGCGGGGCACCAGTGAGGGATGATAGGTGACGATGAAAGCAGGTCAATTAGCCCATCGTGAAGAATTCAACAAGAATTAATCACAATAGTTTCAAAGAGAACCGTGTGGAAGTCGACCTGACAGAGTATTTGCTACAAATGGTATTCGAAGTTCCCCATTAATAACACTTTCCCTCCCTATATGCTATAGACTACTCGTGTAACAAAATTCATTCAGATCTGTTCAACTATTTTTGTGTGAAAAAATAATAAACATTCATCCATCGTTACAAAATCTCGCATTTATAATATTATATTAATAAACAAAATTCTTTAAGTATAGAGGGTAGGGGGTATTAGGGCTAGCTGAAGATGGTAGATGGATGTAAAAAAAGTATGTAAAGAGGTTAAATACGAGCATTAAAAGCTAAAACAGTACTTTTTAAAAATTTTGGCTGTCTGCCTATCTGTTTCGACATCACGCAAGAACTGCTGCACCGAACTGAATACAGTTGTCACTATACGTACCTATTCCTGAAGGTCCAACTTAAAAAGTAGTGTACGTTTTATCTTGATAAGTGGCCTATTTCATTATTTTTTTCTACTTTTAAAATTCACGCGTATCCAGTGCGCGAAGTGCTAGTTTATAATATATATCCACCAGAGGGAGACTTTGTACAAAAGTCGATTGCTTGGGTACCTCTGTCCCATTCGTGTTTCAACCGTAAAGTAGTTGTGTTTGCATGCTGTGTTTCGGTTTGAAGGGTGGGATATAGCGTGAATTTACTGGGTACAGAGGAATAACACCTGAATCCTCAGGAATGGCAAGGCATGAAGGGTATCATGGGCGAAACAGTAGGTATACTCTGTTATGTCCATGGTACTGCTCATGTCTACCATATAGGCGACGGTTACTACTTTCCATCAGGTAAGCCATCAGCTTGTTTACCATTCTGTGTTGTATAAAAAAAAATAGAAAAATTTGTCACCATTGACTTTCTTTTTTAGAGTTCCGTGCCTCCAAAAGAAAACACGTAACCCTTATAGGATATATATATATATATCTATCTATCTATATCTATATATATATCTATATATATATATATATATATATATATATATATATATATATCAGTGAAAAATTCGAGCTTCTAAATCGACGCAATCAAAAGATACGGCCGTTTATGTTCCTTTTATATCGCATATTTTGACATTCGCAAGGGGAATCAAAACCTACAAAGTATTAACAGTTGACCTAGAATCATGAAATTTAGCAAGAAACAATGTCATGTAGCACAAATAAAGGGGAAAATCTAAAAATCGTACATTTGTGTTTTTTTTTTATTTAATATACAATTTTTCTTTCATTAAAATTTCAGCGGAAGCGGTCACTGAAAATGAAACTTAAATAATCTGCAATGTCCCCAAAGTAGTGAGCATAAGTTATCATGAGTTCAAAGAAAGATATTATGCACATTACTATGGATATGTTGCATGAATAAACTACGCGGAGAAGAATTTGAGAAGAGAAGAAACAGAAGAATAAGAAGAATGAGAAGAATGGCTGAGACGAAAACCATTTTATAACTCTATTTGAGAAGACAAGAATCAGAAGAACAAGAAGATAGGAGAGACGAGAAACATTCTACAACTATACTGCTTTGTAACTATATAATTTAAATTCACATTCTCAATTCCAAGTCTCCTAGGTGCCCTACCGGTTGGCAGTAACCTCAGAGAGTTTTTTTTTTATCTTTAATTAATTTTTTAAGGACTTGTTTTTGATATTTATAGTACGTAGATGTTAAGTGTGTATATAATAGATTGATTATATTTTTTACACATTTAAATTGTATATAATTGTTTTTTTTTTTTTTTTTATATAGCTAATATTAATCAAAATGGCCGCACCCCATGATAGCAAACAAGCAATGTGATTCAAATATAGAGGTCGGTGATACAGCAATTTATACTGTGTTGGCCATAGTCATCTTAACAGCCTACAAAAAAAAATCGTACAAATAAAGTTGGAAGAAAAGTCTGGTTATTACATAACAATGTTACAGTAACATTACCCTTCAAAGCTTTTTAATTTTTATACCATAAAAATAACAATCCAACATGCGACTTGACTGATGGTAATCGTTTCGTTTACACATGTCTAATCTTAAAGTACTAGGGTAGCATAATTATAAGGGTTCTATTTTATATTCCAGACCGATTTTTAGATTTATAGACCATACAGTTTCCTGATTCTTTAGTGTTTCCTTAATACATAAGTTATTCGCAGCACTAAAAAAAAAATAGTACACTTTGTTTTTTGTTAAAAAAAAATACACATCGGCCAGCAGTCAGCTGTTTTTTTCTGGACATGTTTTGAACTAAATGTCTGGGCTCAAGTACATTTTATAACATCGCCGTAATTGAGGATTATTGTTTTAACTTTTTCGGATCGTTGTTGGTTTTTTGTAATAAATTTCATTATTTGAATAAAGAATTTTGATTAAAAATAGAAAATTAACTGTCAATCAGGATTCCAATTAAAGTGTTTAATAGCGTTTTAGAAAAGAAATAAAATTTCTGCATCAGAACTCAAAAAAATTGTCAGCAACATCATTTGACACGAGAAGAGATGATGAGAACAGTCGAAAATCGAAAGTCAAGCTAATTCCCAGCAACATACTATCTCGGTCGCTGTTGCGACTACATAGAGCGTCATAGGCCTCCTCTGAACACGCTATCGTATCACAAGCAGCATGGCCGAGCGACATGGAGAACAATTTTCATCATCACCCGCAGACAAGACCAGTACATTCAAAATACCGCTCAACACATCGAGGCTCCACAGACAAAAACTTGTTGACTTGTTCGAAAGAACGTGGGCAGCCATTCCTCAAAGTAATTTTGTTGAACTGATTTTAAGCATGCTAAATCACTGTGATTATGTGATTTGTATCAATAGATGATTTTGTGATTCGTGTCAATTGTGTGTTATTGTTAATTTTTTTATCTTTACAATAAAAATTAAAAAAAAAAACTTCATTTCTGTCTTCTTGCCTTTTCATTGACGACATTAATTAAGGTTAAATTCTATGTTAACTTAAGCATGAAATTTAAAGTAAGAAGCCAGGTTGGACGACTAGATTTGGTAAATATTAATTGGATATTTTTTATGGTTTAAGATGTACTTGATCCCTGGTCACTTTTGGTATGTGTATTTGATCTCAGATGTTTAATGAAATTAATAGGACAGTGAACACATATTCATGTAATTAATGCAATTAAAAAATAACTCACCAAAAGTCCAATAAGCAGAATTAGCGCAATAACACCAATTGTGCTGACTGCTATGGCTACAGCTGCTCCAGAGCTCTCCTCTTCACCTTCACCTGAAACTCTTGGCCTGGCTTCTGTAGTCATCTCCCCATTATAACTGCTGACATCCTCCAAATCGTTAACTGATTTTGTTCCAAAATCAGTTGTAAGCTCTATTGTAGTATCCTCATTCGTTACTGTTGTATCGTAGATTTTTGCATTTCGCTGTGTAGTTGTTTCTATATCTCTTTGTGTTGTTAATTCTTGTGTATTTACAATATTAACTTCAGTGGTCGTTATTCCTGATTCGGTTGTTATTAATTTTTCATCTATATCTTGTATTTGTGTTTGTATACCTGTACTTATAGTTGTGGTTCGAGCTGTAGTCGTAGATTCAGAAGAGTCTTGTGTAATAACTTCATTACTGTTATTGTCCTCTTCAGAAGTGCAGTCAGTTTCACTCGACGATGTTGCAGTTGCTTCTTCAGTTACTATAGTAGTTGGCGCTTCCGTTGTGGACTTTTGCTGCATCTCAGTATTTATTTCTGTCACAATTTCTGTTACTATAGACGTAGTTTCGGGAGCAACTGTTGTTTTAACGTTATCTGACGTTGTAGTTTCAAGTGGTATTAAATTTGGTGTACTAATTGGTTCCGTTGTAGATTCTTCGGTTGTTGTTGTTATTGTTGTTTTTGTTGCAGTTTGTGTGGTAGTTTGTTTAATCATTTCCGTTACATCGGGTAATTTTTCAGATTCAGTTTCATGCGAATCTTCTGAAGATACAGAAATAATTTCAGTAACATCTGTAGTTGTCTCTTCATTGTAGTCGGTAGTTGTCATATACTGAGGCCGGTACGTTGTAACAGGACCATCGTTTATAGTTGTCAATCTAGTTCTAGTTGGAAAAACAGGATGCCAGTCAGTACTAGTAGAAGGTTTTTGTGTTATATTCATTTCAGTAGTATTCATTACTTCTTCCGTTGGTACGTAAGAAAATCTTATAGTTGTTATCTCATAATCAGTTGTGGTAGGTAATTTTGTTATTATTTCACTTACACTTGACTGATTTTCTTGTACGTTAGAAACAATCTCATCTTGTGGAGTTGTCAAATCTGAAGGAAGTTTTGTAATAGATTCAAAACCTGTTAAATTAGTAGAACTAATTGGAACAGCTTCTGTTTTAATCGATTCTCCTAATATCGCCGGTGTTGTATCTGAATGTTCTGTCACGGAAACCCATTTTTTGCTATCATTTTTTAAAGGTTCTGTAACCATTTCAGTTGGTTTTAATGAAATAGATTCGGTTGGAATACTGGGTTGTGCACTACTTTTTACATACAAGTTACTTTCCGCTGGCAATCTTTCTGATGTAAGTAGTAATTCTGTTTTAGCATGATTTGTGGGCTGGTCAGTTGAAGCTGGTATGAATACTGGTTTCCATCCCAACTTATTCTGGTCCACTTCAACTATTTTCTTCGTTTCAATGTCATTATTTAATTTTGTAGTTGTTGTTGAAGTAGGAGTTGTATTTTTTCCTTCTTTCTTATCTGAAATCATAAAATAAATAATTCTTATAAAACATTTAAACAGTATATTTTTATGTAATTAGTATATATTTAGTAGCGTGTTGGTGACAGAGTAACCAATTATTATTTATTTTCTTGTCTTAACAACGTTCGTCAATTTGTATGTGGATTTTTATTCCAAGCAAAGTTTTATATATTTGGTAAAGTAACCTACTGATCGTAGTTTTGTGAAATGTTAAAAGTAGAAAAATAACTGTGCCCTGACTTTTCGTACTTAAGTTAATAAAGAAATCGTGAACATATCAAGAAGTACGTTTACCACTACAGCAACTATGATGGTGAATATATTTATTTATTTAAGGGCTGACAACTTGAGTATATAATTACCGTCCATTATCTTTTTCTTATATTAAATATCTAGCTTTTACCTACGACTTCGTCCATGATACCGGCATATATATGTTCACAGACCAGGATAAAAAGTAGCCTATGTCCTACTCCCTCTCATATAGTACGTATACGAGTACAGCAAATGTCATAGTGATTAGTTAAGTCGTTAAGGGGCCACGAGGAAAGAAACAAACAACCTCACTTTCACGTTTATAATATTAGCAAAGAATGTAAATAACGTTACTAGAATATCTAATATAATATAGAAAAATAATTTAATTTACGTATATCTTTTTTTATATGACTTGGTAAGATTATACTGAAGACAACACTCGATCACCCATTTTTATTTTAAACATGTTAGCTAAATAAATTAATATATTTAATTTCATTTCTATGTTTAATTAATATTATATTTAGATATAAAAAATATAATACCTGTAACTTCTCCCACTTTCTGTAATTCATTCTCATCGATGCTTTTTTGCGTCGATCCCGTTGCATTTATTGATGAACTTGGCAAAGATGGTGGACTTCTCAAACTAGCCAGTGCCCATGCAGTCAAAGTTGGCGGTATTTCCATATCATTAATATCTCCGGTCTCAGCTGGTGTCGCCGTGGACGTAGCAAACTTCGTCGATCCTCTTTTCCATAGTGAGGGAATACTATTATCAGATATAGATGGAGAATGAACGACCTTCTCTATACCACTAATATCGCTCTGTAATACCGGGTCTATTTCAGAAGATACAGTAGTAAGAATGGTTTTATTTGGTTGCTTGGGACGATGTGTTGTAGAATATTTATCCTTTATATTAAAATGCTCAGAGTATATAGTTGCTGGTCTTGTATTAATCTTAGTTATATTCCTTCGTGGCAACATCCATATGGCTTTTGTTTTGGGCGTAGTATGATAGAATTTTCTTGTCTGAGATCGCTGAGAGGCTGATTCTGATTTTGATGTGACACTATTTGGAGAATCTCTCGTTCCATTGAAGTTTAGGCGTTTTGGGTAACTTCGGTTTCGATTATAGCTACTAGAAAATGCTTTTGTAGGTTTTTCAGTAGATGAAATGCTATATACATTATTTTGTACAGATACAGGTGTAGAACTGACCGAATTATATACAGATGGATTAATACTTGAAATAGGGAGATAATTAGTAAATAAAGTTGATATAGACTCAGAACTCGGATCGGGGTGTGAAGGTTTTGGATCAGGATATGTTGGTTTCGTACTTCCCGGTAATAAAGTAGCTTGTGTCGCCTTTATAGATGCTATTTGTTCTTCAGATGATGAACTCATTGTGGGATCTAAAGGCAACGTGTCATTATCACAATCATCATCTGAATGGTTTATAGCATATGTTTCAGTCGACAATACGGACATTTCGTAATAAATACTAGTACCCTGTACATCAGATATTCCACTGTTAGCAGTACCAGCGCTTTCATTATCTAAAAGACGTATTTCTTTGGTATTTTTTATAATTACTGTAGACTTATTTGTTGGTGTATTGTTATTGACTCTTTCTAATCCAATATTCTCTTTTACAATTTTATGCACGTTAGTAGCATTTGTTGGTTTATGAGTTGGTATAGAACTCAATCTCTTTAATATACCCTCTGATATTTCCTGATATTTCTTGTCAAAAAAGTCATTTTTTGGTGTTGTTAACTCAAAGTCAAAGAAACTGTCAGAATTATAAGATTCATGGTTATCTTCTTTAGAATCATAAGAGTCTTTAGGGAAAAATGTAGAAAATCCGAAAGGTGAAGTTTTATAATTTTCTCTTACCTGATTGTCTGAACTTTTGTGGTCTGTGAAATGACTAAAGTCATCATTGTAATTGGGTATAGTAAAAAAGTTATTATCAAACTTGCCGGATGTAATTCTTTCAAATTCTTTATCTTCTTCATCTTCTTCGTCATATTCTTCCTCTTCACTATGTGTTTCAGTTTTTGCAGACAGTGACGTACTGGGAGTGGAACTTATTATTACTGGTAATTTTGTTCTTTTATATTTTTTCATACTGTCTATAATTTGAGCCGGCTTCTTTACCTCTGGAGTTGGAGTAACGATTATTATATTTGTTGGTTTAGTCGAACTCCTAACTCTTCTCAATGGAGTTTCTGTGGTAGTTTTAAGTTGCGTTTGATATCGTATCCTCCCCCTGTGTTTGTATTTTGCATTTTTCTCTGTATGCTCTTCAGTTGGCGATTCTTTAGGACTTAATTCGTTTAATGACGTATCAGGACTCTTAATATTGTTTCTCGGGTTCCATGTTGTACCGTTAATTTTCTCGTGTCGTGTGTTCTTCTCATTTTTTACTGTAGTCGATGTCGTTTCGTGAGGCAACGCGTTGCCACTAACTAAAGTGCTGCTCAACAGTAGTAAGTTTACTACTAATGCTACACCTGTAATTAATACAATTTGACATTATAGTATACATAAAAATAGGATTTTTTTTTAACTAATGTTTTCATTCTATGTTTTTATTATAATGTTTTTATTCGGGTTTTTTTTTTCGCGATAATATATGATCTATCTAATAATAATATAAAATAGGATAAACTATTCGTAACATTACCAGAGGAAGACTTTGTACAAAATTCATCTGCTCGGGTACCTCTGTTCATTCGTATTTCTGCCGTTTGCAGTTGCATCTGTATGGCTGTCTTTTGGTTTGAAGGGTGGAATATGGTAAAGAAATTACAGGATACAGAAGCACAACACTGTAGTCCTCAGGAATGGCATCGTATGAAGAATTGACATTGGGCGATACAATATACTCTGTTATATCCACGGTACTGTTCATGTCTATAGGCAACGGTTATCACTGTTTGCTATACTTAGTTGTATAAAAAAATTTACTAATCAATTTACAGTCAAAACTAATAGTTTTAGAAATATGGAAGGAATGAGAAACTTAACTGATCAACAATCAAACACAACAACACGTATAATTGTTCTATTTTTTTTTATCTCTACCAATTCATAATTTCTATGTGACATTCTTGGATTGACTGGAAGAGATCCCTTTTATGAAATAAGTCCGCCATTGTATTTATTTTCTTAAGAACACTGTATCCTATAATTTAAGTATTTATTTATACAATAAAGTGTTACAAACAAACAAACCCACTACCACAAATATTCTCGTGGTAGTAAGGATCCGTAGCATTTCTCAAAACGGTAAACAAGCTGACGGCCCACCTGATGGGAAAAAAGAGCTGTACAAATAGTATTAATAGAAACTTACCTATAAATATTCTAACTGGTGATTCCATGTTCATTTCATGTTGTTGTTATAACATAAGCTGAATCATAGCATCATAACCGTCCTTGGTGTCGTCATGGCGTGTCCTGGAAAAGAAAATTGGATTTAATATTTCATTCAGAAATCAATCGACCTTCAACGCGGTCACATTGTATGGACGGGATTATTTTTATGCTATTTGAAAATAGCATGTAACCTGATGGCCCTCGTGATGGAAAAAGGTGACTGTTGTCTATGGACAAGAACAATACTTTGGATGTCACAGAATATACTGTGTATCATGCGTTGCTGTTACTGAGGATTAAGGAATTACGCTTACGTACCCTATAATTTTACTGTGATGTCCTACATAGATTTTTTTTAATGGATGATACACGTATTTTATTTCTAAACGAGGCGTCTTCAGACAAATTATTAGATCGCTGCTCGGAGCCCAGTGCTAACCTTTCGGCGCCCAAACTACAAATAACCAGCGATATGTACTTCCTCATGAAAGCACCTAGTTCAGTAAAATATTTAGTAATTAAAAACATTTATTTAATTTACAAATTGTTTTGTCAAATTAATACACCGCCATTTACTCTCGCTGTTCAGCATAACGGTTGACTGGTAGAGAATACCATCAGGCACTAAGTCCGCCCTGTAGACATATTTTAATATGTGCGAAATTATAAATAAATAAATATTCATAATCCAAGTATTCCTATCAATTTTTTTTTTTTATACAGGGACAGAAACGTAAAGAACGAATTTAGAAAGAATAAATCAACGAATTCAATTTTGGAAACAAATTTTCCAATTTTAACAATTGCCCTTACGCTGCTTAACGATATGTAAGAAAAATAATAAACGGAAAATATATGTTCTCGTTCATTTATCGTATGGTTTCTTAGATATTTAACCATTCATAACCCAAATATTCCTACCAATTACTATATTTTTCTTTGCTTTTATTTGATAAGTCAAACATACTTATATTATTATATGGGGCGAATTTGGAACGAATAAAACGTCTAAACCAATTTTCGAAACAAACTTTCTCGTACTAATCATTACCCTCACGCCGCTTAACCCCGATACGAAAAAAAAAAATAAGAATATACGAGCAATACATTTCTCTACATTTCTTCAAGCAGCATACAAAATTAAGGATATCTCGGAACCAGCAATCTGCCCTACAAACGCTAACGATCCTAATCGTGATGATAATTACCTGTGATGTGGAGTCGCCGCGGACTGTGCGTAATTGGGGGGGGGGGGGGGGGGGGACATTAGTTCACTAGGTCGTGAGGAACTGGGACGAGGAAGTGACCGAACATAACGCGCATTCCACGCCTCATTACTAACGCATAGAAATGTGATTATGATGAGTTTTATTGCCTTAAAAGGCGTCTAGGACAGGAGTCGACAACCTGCGGCACGCGAGCCACATGCCACTCTTTAGTTCCATACGCAAATACGCAGCAATTCCTACAGCATGGGGTTTTTCAAAAGGGGGGTAAAGAGGTTTCTTCAGGGTCGGCAACGTACGCTTAATACCTCTGGTATTGCAGGCGTTCATAGGCTACGGTAACCACTTACCATCAGGTGGGCCGTATGCTTGTTTGCCACCTCAGTGGTATAAAAAAAATTTATTAAATTAATTATAAAAAAAAAAATGTAATCGCTCTGAATCGACTAACAAGGATTAGATACTAAACTTTATTTATGCAAGTACTATTTGTTTTTTTTTTTGCTCTAAGAAATTTTTGCGGCTCTTAAAAAATTTATAATTTTTTTAAATTGTAATTTCTGACTCTTCCGACTCAAAAGGTTACCGACCCCTGGTCTAAGAGACTCAAACGCAGTACGCCAAAAATTTAAAAGAGCAACTGTTGAGTTTTTTGCGGGCTCTTCTCAACAGATAATAACTTTATGAATTTAGCAGTAGATTGAAGAAAAAAAAAACAATTTCAAAATGTTTGTAAACAAGCTCATTTGAATAAAAAAATTCTGAATTTGAATTTACAAAAAGGGGAGCTCAGAATACCAGTAAAATACTTTATCAAACAGCCTGAATTGTACAGTGACTGTAGACTAATCGGGCCACCCCTTCCTTTCCCGTTAATGTCGTAAGAGAGGGCGAGGGATGGGCAGCAGTGTCCCCTTAAAACATCTCTAAAAGCCTAACTGCGGTTGCCAACCCGCCTGCCAAGCGTGGCAACTACTGGCAAAACTCCGCTTATGGGAAAGGCTTATGTCCAGCAGTGGGCAGTTAACGACTGAAACAATAACAATAGAATACCAATATATAATGTATTTATGTAAGTATATTTACACAGTATAATAACACATGAGTCCTCAGGAATGGCAACGCATGAGGGGTATCATGGGCGAAACAGTATACTCTGTTATGTCCATGGTACTGCTCATGTCTAACATATAGGCGACGGTTATCACCTTCTATCAGGTGGGTCGTCAGCTTGTTTGTCATTCTAAGTTGTATAAAAAAACATAATCATAATTATATAGTAGTTCTCTATTATATACTTGTATTGTATAGCAACCGCAGTTAGGTGTTTTTTTTTTTTTTGTGTGTGAAAATGGTATGCACCAGTGAAAGGTGATAGATGAGAATGAAAACAGGCCAGTTAGCCCATCATGATGAATTCATCAGGATTTAACCATGATAGTTTCCAGGGGGTACCGCGAGGAGGTCGACCTGGTTGGGTATATTGCTAGCAATGGGATTCTCAGTCTCCATTACTAACAATCCCTTTCCCCCCACCGCAGTTAGGCTTTGGTGATACTCATATTTTGAGATGCTTCTGTCCATCCCCCGACCATTAAATTGCCTTAGTTGCCCCTTACAAAATCCACGAGAAAGGAATAGGTGGCTTTTTCTACGCCGAAAGATCGATCAATATATTATTTGAAAGATCGATCAATATATTATTTAAACACTTTTATTTTATTTTATTTTATGCAACGTAGAATTTTATACGACGAAACATTTTAATTTATTATAATCATCATATTATTTTAACCATCATCAGAACTATACGTTTACACCTCATCTAAAGATGATATGTATATGTTGTATTTAACATATTATATATATATGTATAATATATTCTTATTTATGTAGGTTTATATTCATATGTATTAATGATGTATCTTTTCTTCTTCGTTGTATTCAAAAATCAATGTCAAAAAGATTGGAAAGAATATTTTAACGAAATTTCAAAAGAAAAAGGCATTTGGTACAAAACCATTCAGGCTGAACCTCCACATATTCCTTGGTTTTGTGGAATTAAAATCAATAGGTACTGTATTAAATTAGCTGCTCGTCTACGATCTGGTCATTATCCATCAAAAAAATTTGCACATATGATGGGGAAGTCCTTGTCACCCCATTGTCAAACTTGTAATACCATCGATGATGTGCATCATATTCTATTAGAGTGTCGTATTAACACGAAGGAAAGAGAAGAATTCATGCACCACTTTAACTTAAATAAATTGAATGTTGGTCTTATTCAAACTATGTTAGCTGAACTTAAACCAGAAATTTTTGAGCATCTGTGTAAATTATTGAAGCCCATTAATTCTTCTCTTTCCGCGTTTAGGGAAGGTAGATAAAGAGAAAGAGAGAGTTGGAGAAATCAGTTCAGGGTACAATAGGACTGATATACCTGAGGAAGGTAAAAGCCCTTAAAATATTAAAAAAAAAAAAAATGATGTATCTTTTAATAATATAATAATTTATGTAAATATTCATTTTAATTTCTGTCTTGCGTCACTACTGCCCACTCACTACTTCCTATGTCACTGTGTTAGGTTGACTGGAAGAAATCTCTTTTAGGGATAAGTTCGCCTTTGCTAACATTGTTATTAACTTATTGTTGTTAATGTATGTTTTAGTGCAATAAAGAATATATAAAATTGAAAGATTGTATCAAATCCATACTTTACTCGCTAAAACTCGGCCAACGTTACTCATTAAAAGCCTAATTACCACTGTCTACATGAAATACTGTTATATAGCAATCCATACAAACATTAACTAACTAAGTAAGAACAAGAGCATATAATAACCTGCGTCAACAAACACCGTTACTCTGTATACGGTACACTATGAAAATTAGGTCAGATTGACCCTAAGTATAGTCTTTTTTTTTTAATACCCCGGATAATTATTTACAGTTTTTTTTATATTTTATTATATTTTTACATCTTATGTACTATTACTTTCTACATTTAATTTATTTATTTATTGGAAAACCAACAGCTTCAAATTTATAGCTTAAAACAATAACAGCTTATCCATATAAAAGCCAATAACAGGTTTTCACTGACTTAGCGATATAAAGTCGTGGCTAGATAAACTATTATTTGTATTATGTATTACTAGCGGCCGGTCCCGGCGTCGCACGGGTGGACATTTTTACATTTTAAAAAGTGGCCAATAAGGCTGCACACGCGACGGAAGCATAAATATGGAGTAACTTCTCCTATTTTCTCAACATTTCCCTTCACTGCTCTGCTCCTATTGATCGTAGCGTGATGAAAAGTATACTATTACCTGCTAAGGAGTATGAAGAATAATTGTACCAAGTTGCGTTAAAATCCGTCGAGTAGTTTCTGTTTCTATAACGAACATACAGACAAACAGACAGACAAAAACTTTACTGATTGCATTTTTGGCATCAGTATCGATCACTAATCACCGCCTGATAGTTATTTTGTAAATATATTTTATGTACAGAATTGATCTCTCTACAGATTTATTATAAGTATAGATTACAACCTTAATACGGCCTATATATTCTAACTACAGTCTAGTCTTCTATTTAGTATATTATCTTGGCTTGGGTGCTTATTCTATATTTTATTTACATATAATTTACGACCAGTTTTCCTATTTCTACTCATTTTTTTAACCTATATTTACCAGAGGGAGACTGTACAAAAGTCGATCGCTTGAGTACCTCTGTCCCATTCGTGTTTCAACCGTGAAGCAGTTGTGTTTGCATGGCTGTGTTTCGGTTTGAAGGGTGGGATATGGCGTGAATTTACTGGGTACAGAGGAATAACACCTGAGTCC